CAAATTTATTACCGCGAAATTAATATCGCGAATGCATTACAGAGAAAGTAATTTCGAAAAAATTACCGGGTTCGGTTTCAGGCTTTTAGAATTTAGAGAAAGGTGTAGGGTTCGGTTCGAATCCTGAGGCCCGAATAAAACAATAATTATAATAATCTCCTCATGAACCTAGTGTATGTACAAGACTAAAATTTTGCTAATTATTTGTATTAATTTAGATTTAGAAACAATGTATAAATAAAATCAATTTTCAAAATTGATGTTTAAATATCACTCGCTTTAACCTTAATGAACGTAGTTCCAAAACTTTAGCCTACCATTGAAATTTTATTTTAAAAGCATTTTTTTAACGCCCTTTAGTTTTTTTAAAACTATATTCAAATTGATTATATATTAATATAAATTTTTATAAAAAATGGCGGTTTCCCATTTATCATAAGATAGTTTTCATTTTTCATGATGGTAAAGAACAATATTTATTTAAGTCAATTTTTCAGGAAATTACCTTTTTCAGAAAATTATAAAAATTTAATTTTTGCGGATATAAATCATAGAGTTGTTAAACGGCTAACTCAATATTTTGGCCAAAAAAATATCGTCCAAGCCTAGAGATTTCGATATTAGATGTTAGAGCCTTCTTACCACCTATGAGAAAAATCTTTAAGGCTTGCATAATATTTTTCCTAAATGAGCCGTTAACAACACTAATAAATCATATTATACATGTTGTACAAGATTATTATTTTAAAAAATATATATAGAATATAATACTTTCGAAATAGATCCAATCCTGACTATTCCAAACTTATTAAATCCCAGGTCTTTATTTTTCTGTATATTTTTTTAGACCACAATTTTGACATTTTATTCTCTCGGCCACGTTGAAAATATGCTCACTATTATGGTAATATTGGACGCGTAATTGTTATTCATACTCCAATATGTATATTTATTAATTATGTTTATAGAGAAAAAATTTTTTTTTTTAAAATCCACATCTTAGGATTAACTATTTGTAATCAAGCGTATGTGACTTGAGGGGGTGTCAAAGTTAAACTAATTTCAGGCAAAATTTAACATGTGTATAATTAACATTTTTCTTATAAAAATAAATTAATTATAATATACCACCATCTAATATTAAATTTCCTCACCGACTTAATATGTAAGATTTTGTCATCTAATGCAAGTCACAAAAAAAGAATTAAATTTATACAAAATTTTGGATATAAATATAAAAATAAAAGCAATCATAACCTTGAAATCTTTTTTTTGGTCCTGCAAAATCAATATTTTCTTTTCACTTTTCAGGTTAATGAAATTATAGAACAAATTTAATCACTTAAATAATATCAAGAGAATGTAATATTTGTAGATTTTTTTTCAAAAAAAATTCAAAATAAGATCTAACTCAGGGATATTGTTAGGTTTGTCAAAACGAATGGGGGAGGGGTGGGCTTCTTCTCCCATGCTAGTGAGGCAAATTCGCTCCACTTGAGTCGATTTTTAAAAACAGTTTACTCATTTTATCCAGAAAAATATCGCGCAAGCCTGAAGATTTTGCTGATAGATGGCACAAAGATATGGGCATCTATTATCGAAATATGGGGGCTTGGGGAATATACCGCATAAAAATTAGGGTCAAATGGAACGTTTTTGAATCACTACCCCATACCCCCCCCCCTTGCTCGGTCTTCTGGCCGGGTTTATGTTCATAGATTAATATCGTCTATTATAATTGATTATATTCCAACTTTGATATGACTTGTAAAAATAGAGGAGAAGCATCAGGGTTTAGCTAAAGAATATGCAATGAACATTTATATTTTTTTTATCATTTTGAACAAAATTTCCAAAAATGTTGGTGGAGTTGGGGGAATCCACCTTAGAAGCATAATCAAAACTATGCTGTTTTTTAATCCTTTTCAAATTAATCTTTATCTTGGATATCGGGGGAATCAATCCTTATTGAAGTTAAAATATGGCAAATTGCTATCTAAAATAACTAAGAACATTTTAAAACATACGCCATTGTTTAGTGCGCAATCGGTAATGACTGCACAAAATTAGCGAAATCAGAAGAGGAAAGTGAGGAACAATTACTATAAGTCATTTTGCAGTCTATTAATTTTGCCGTCCAAAATCTTTAACCCGGATACTGTAGAATTAATAGTTAGTGAGCTATAATAAACAAAATATAAAAGTTTTGGTTAATTAATGCAATCACATTATAATAGTTTGGGAAAATATTTAAAGAATAAAGAAAGAAAGAAAGAAAGAAAGAAAGAAAGAAAGAAAGAAAGAAAGAAAGAAAGAAAGAAAGAAAGAAAGAAAGAAAGAAAGAAAGAAAGAAAGAAAGAAAGAAAGAAAGAAAGAAAGAAAGAAAGAAAGAAAGAAAGAAAGAAAGAAAGAAAGAAAGAAAGAAAGAAAGAAAGAAAGAAAGAAAGAAAGAAAGAAAGAAAGAAAGAAAGAAAGAAAGAAAGAAAGAAAGAAAGAAAGAAAGAAAGAAAGAAAGAAAGAAAGAAAGAAAGAAAGAAAGAAAGAAAGAAAGAAAGAAAGAAAGAAAGAAAGAAAGAAAGAAAGAAAGAAAGAAAGAAAGAAAGAAAGAAAGAAAGAAAGAAAGAAAGAAAGAAAGAAAGGAAAGAAAGAAAGAATATTTACCTGTTTAATGCAAATGTAATTATTTTTTTAATTATTTTAAAATTTATAATTTAATAGTTTTTTTTTGCAGATTTTTGTAAAAAATTAAATTTAAGATAAAACAAGATCCAATATTTGGCTGAATTATATTCAAATCAAATTTAATACTAAAATAAAATATTATATTTAAGAATTAAAATATACATCTTTCCTTTTTGGATTTTAATGATTGAAGCCTAGAACTTTCAAAATCCAAAGGTAGATTTCTCCTCTCCATAAAATTTTCGGCCTTTGAAAAAACATTCAAAAATTCAGTGTCATTATCTAATGAGATTTAAAAATTATACAAGACAATAATTTAAATTATATTTTTCAATTAAAGCAATCTTTTTCTGATTTGCAAACCCTATATCCCTTGACATGGTTTGTTCAATTTTATACAAACCAAGCTTGCTATCAACATTATTTTATCCAAAAACACAAGGTGACAAAATAAAATAAAATTTGCCTATCCCAAAAACTATAGCACAAGCTATGGTAGAAGGAAGTGGCAAGATCTTCAGAATCCTTTAAATTCAGCAAGTCAAACCCTCAACAAGGCATCATAAAGTAGGAAAAAAGGCCAGATAGATATAGAAAACAAACATTTTAAATCTAAACAAATAAGAAAATATTACCCAGTAAAAAAATTATTCGGATTTTGTCGGTAGGTCACTTTGAGATGCAAGTACTGCATATCTATTTCTTAACACCATTGAAATACACGTGAATCTCTTCTAAGATCCCTAAAACATTTTTTAGTTCCTTTATCGATTGGCATAATCAAACAATGATTAAATTTAATTGATTGACAATAGTACCAAATAAAAGCTGAACTTGGAGGCCTCATCTCTAATCAAGGCATGGACTCTATTGATCCTTCTATTCATGTTTGAAACACCATAATAGCGAACTAAGTTTGCATATCATCTTTTTTTATAAATATCAAAACCGCTCATCGTACAATCTTTCAACCGGTTTATGCTTTTTATAACCATTTTCAATATATCTATACTATTAAAGATTGGAATTTAGTTAGCATTTTAATTCAATTAGTTTTTTTATTTCCCTTTTTATTCGTAATATTTTTCTTGTATATATAATTTGAGAACAGGGTTAGAATCTACAATAAGTTTTATAAAAACTATCATTTTGGCTTTCTTGTTGGGTGGTTCCCCCAGAAGACTAGGCTAAGAGTAATCAAATAACCACGACATCTTATTATCATTCCTATGATCGAGTTATTATTGTTATTAACACATTTTTTGGGGGAATATTGGATATTTTTAATATCGATATTTTGTTATGGGGCAAATCTTTCATAATTAGATATCATATATGTCTGTCAAGACTCCACAATAATATCGTGATTGATACTCTGTCATTTATCTATGCCTTCACAATGCATAGTTTAGTAATTACTATAATTTTTAGCCGGATAAAAATTGGGCGAAACCAATTTTCTAGCCGAAAACTATCACTTTGGCCTCGGGGTCTTTCTTAAAAAGATAGCAGCTCAAATTTGAAGGAAAATTAACGAATTTTCTCCGGCTGGCGCTTGAAGATCGAGCCGAATTAGCCGACATTTAGGCATTACCCAACTATTCTTCACAATAAATGAAATTAAAATTTAAACCCCCACGATGATAGGGGGAGTGTATATTTTCAAAAAAATAGTACCCCCTTTTCAAATTTTAGGAAGGAGTTTCTTTGTAACCCCACCCACTATAAACTATAACTGATCATTTATAATATATTTAAATGACATATGTTATGGTATAGTAAAATTGTAGATGTTATAACTAATAAAAAATATTAAAAATTAAAACCATTGGTATCTTTACAGAATACAAAATTAGATATGATATCGGATCGGTTATCGGCCGATATCAATTTAATATCTGGAATATCGGATCGGCCTCCAAAAAGTGGTAGACACCCTAGTTATAGGGGTCACTGTATTTTTGAACAAATAAAGCATTACATGTTGACGAAAGTATATAATTATAAAGAGTTTCATTTCCTTATTGAATTGATTAGTTTCGCCATTACTAAAGATTTTAACTGATTAAAATCATTTATTTTATATATATTATCTGATAATTAATTTTTCTTTAATTTAGTTTTATTTTCATTAACTAACATTTTATGAGGTATTAAAACCTTACAATAAAATATTTGCTCTTTGCAATTAAAAACAAATAAACAACTACAAGTGGCCATTATATAATTAGTGCTTCGGGCTATTTTGAACACAAATGATTGTCCATAATAGTTTGTGATTTTTTAAAAATAATATTTATTTATTTTAAATAATTTTTTTTTAATGATTTTTAATAGTATTTTTTATAATTTTCGAATAATTTTTAATATTTTAATTCAAATTATTATATGGCCTCTTATTTTGGCACAAAAGGAATGCAACAAAGGTTAAAAAAACAAATAAATTTAATAAATATTAATATTATTTAAAATATATATATAGCAATTTTGACATTTTAAAAAAAAAAAAATATTAATCATCGGAATAAATATAATATAGGATTTAAAATCTTTGAGAAAAGAAATTGAATCTCCTGAATTAATAATTTTATACTAGTAATGATCTTATAATAACATAGGGGCGAGGTGGATTTTGCTAAGGGCAGGCACTACTAGGTTCGATTCCCTCATAAATTTGATTGGAGGGCTCTTTGGCTAAGTTACATTATTTTTATAAATAATTTTAGGTTTTCAACTCTATTTTTTTTTTGAATATTTAAAATGCTTTTTTTATTCTTAAAAAATTTTATATTTAGGAATTATTTAAATTTTTTAGTTATTTTTTTGCGATTTATAATGTTAAATTTACATTTTTTTTCTTAGAGAATACATAGAGGGCTGGGTTAAAATTTTTATTATCTTAAAATGTTTACCAAAACAGAAGAATTTCCGAACCTTTTACAATGCCTATGTATATGTACTTATCAAATAAGTATAGAATTGAGTATATATATTTTAACTAAATGGCCTTGGTGATAAAAATTAATCAATTATAAATATTTACGTAATAACGAACAAATAATGGCAATTTTTTAGTCTTTTTCACTTAAGTTTTGAAACAGAAATCTTTTAACAGTTTCTCCACAAAATATAATTTGAAACATTGATTCATACTTTGGAGACAAATGATTTGAAAATCAAATTATTAATATATTTTAAAAAAAATGGTATATTACTTAAAGTTAATATCTTTGTACAATGTTTATTTTTTTTTCAAAACTTTTTAGATTTGAAGTTTAGTGATTTTCAAGGTAATTTCATAAGGAAATTATCTATAGATTTTTTAAAGAATTTTTCCGGAAATGGAATGAGGCTGGAAAGCAAATTTTTGCAGTTAAAAAGTCAGATTCGGATCGATTTTAAAAAAATGACACTATTAAGATGTTAGCCAAAACAATATGATGTAACCCCTGGGATTTGGCAAATAGAAGTCCAAACCTTTCTACCATCTATGAGGATAAATCTCCAAGCAATAATATTATTTTGGCTAAAATCTTAATAGGGTGGTCGCTTTTTTAAACATATCTACATAGTTATGACGCCTGATTCAGTAAGAAACGAATTTCTATCATTCATCAATAAAGTTAAAAGTTGGTAAAAGCGCAGTAATAAGTAAATAACCATGAACCGGGGTTGGATCGAGCTATTCCAAATTAATTTTAATTTATACATTTTTTTAAAAAAACACAATTCTTTAAAAAATCTTTAATTAAGTCTATCCATTACGAATCGGAAGCCTCCCTTGCAACTGTAACGAAGGATGGTACAATTTCTATTTGCCGGACACTAGCAAAACTTTGCGCGGCTATTATGCCATAGATAAAAACGACGGGTCAATCATATTAAAATTCGGAGGCAGGGCTTCTAAGATATGGGATTATGTGAATGAGAAGGATAGAAACTTTGAATTGAACTTGATACCTAAACTGGTTTTCGATTTAGGAGTAAAATTAAGTGATACCATTCCAACCATTCAAACAGATCTACGATTAGACTTTAACGCCGCGCGTACCTATAATCCTTCTTACATAATCGTAAGGTAAAGTATACAAAATAAATATATGTTTATATAGTAGTATATTTGTATCGACGATAGTGTATCCGGTACTTTTATATCCAACGGTAATTAGCAATATTTTAGCAATTTTAACGTATCCATAGACTTGTCCCGATAAATATTTTTCCGAAACTTTTTATCTATAATATTTTAGACTATGTCCTAAATATAATAAATTAAAACTCGGTGATTCTTTAAAAGTTTTAAGAAAAAAATTTAATAATTTTATCATTAAAATTTTGTAATTTATCAAGTTTTTGCGAGAAATATCAAATAAATAAAAATAAAATATGGAATTAATAAATCATTCACAGCAAACATTTTTAATATTTCGGAGAATTTAACAATACTTTTGAAAATTTAAGGAAGATTCGGGTCATGTTTCGTATTTTTCATTACTCACGAAAGTTATGCAATTCTTAAAACTTTTGAGTAGTTTTTTATATATATTTAGGACACAGATTTATATATAAATTTAATAATATTTAAATTGTTAATTTGATTTCAATTTATTAATGCCAGTTACAAACAATGCAGTTACTTATGTTGTCCATAATTTTTTTCTTTACCAATTTGAATTTGGTTAACCCATGGGGGGAATTAAAGGGGAGATATACATTTGAATAAGATAGCAAATTTTTGTATTCAAGAGCATAATATCCAAGACAATAACGGTCAATGGAGTTAACTTTAAAAAAATCTTTAATGCATTAATACATGTTCCAGTGGTATAAAAATGAAATAAGAAACGAATATGAAGCTTCGGGTGAATAAAATAATCATATGCTTATTGTAATCTCTAAACTTTATGAAGATGAAGCTGAAAATCAATATAATCTATTATAAGCTACACCCATATTTCAAGTTCTGGATTTAACTCCCTGATAATAGAGTGAACTAAAAGGAGCGAATATATTGATAGTTACAAGAAGCAGGACAATATGATGAAAATAATTTAAATTTAAAATAATTCCAAAAGTTTCGTAAATGTATCGATAATTATGTATCGGTATCGAATATATTTTGGGAAAATGTATTTGTATCTATATAGGCTTAGATAAGTTTTAAAAAGTAACTAAACAAATCTGCAAAACATACAGTATATAATTAACACAAAATGTCTAATATAAAGCATAGTGGATGGATATTTATGTAAATATAATAAAGGTTCAACTTTCATAATTTTATATATATTAGGGTTATGTATACTTAAAAATGACAATGTATTATATATATACACTTATATTTTATATGTAATAATTTTTCATAATCGCTGTTCATTTTGAATGGAATTATAGGAATGGCAAAAAATTATTCCTTATATAAAAAATTATATTCATTTGCTTAATACAACAGATATTTAAATGACCTATCTCAATCTTACAAATTGTGCATTGACTCTTATGTAAGACCCCCTGGGTACACCAGTGTTGTGTTTGATGGAAATTCTAGGGTAAGATGCTACGGAAAACTGGGGCGAATTATCACAGGTTGCGGTAAATGCGGACTTCCTTTCCTTGCAGAATTTTCCAGACCTTTTATCATTGAAAAGATAATTATGTTATCAAGTGGGGATGAGTATTCTAGGTCAAACCTGGGTGTACGAGACTGGAGGGAATATGGAAACACTTACAATGTAATGGGAAGTTATTACTATATCTCATTCAAACTGAATGAATGCTCCTTTGCCTCAACTGGTTTATAGTTGCTTTTACAAATTCCTAGTTATAATGTATATCTATTTTATTTCTTTCTTCGCAGATTACATCGCGGAAGATTTAGTGACCACTCCAAGCATTGTACGCACACCCATCGCTAGAGTCAAACTTACTGATTCTAGTATCGAAGATATCGTGACAAAAACTACTAAAAGTTAAAAATTTAATCCGACCTTTTTCTATAAAATATTTATAAAAAGGAATAACGTATGAACTTCCATCTCAAACTACCAAAACTTCTACTTGGTGGACGACCAAAGCGACGACGTCAGTCACTCTCACCCCATCTTTTGACGATATCTATTCTGGTATATGTGGTAGGGTAACCATCAATAAAACTATTACTAAAGAGCCATTTTCCACGGGAAAAAACGCTAGGCTTATTCCCGCCAATCAAAGAATCAAGCCATTCTACAGTTCTCGAAATAAGGAAAAATATAATAGAAATAGATATCTTAAACCTCATTCACGTTTCATGGGAGGTAGAAGACGTAAGAAACCATTTCCGAAATTATATATTACCCCTTCAACTCCTTATTGGGATGACTATCAAACTGAATACCCTTATACCGAAGAAGAATATACTCCCTATATGGAAGATGGTTATGAAGAGGTTTTTGGAAGATTGATGAAGAGGTCCACTCTCGAAGACGAGGATAGCAATAAAAAGAAAATTGAATCTAGAATCTTTGGCGGAACAGTTTCCTTGGCAGGAGCTTGGCCCTGGCAGACTAGCATAAGATGGAGAGGGGAACACATATGCGGAGGCTTTTTGATCAGTGACAGACATGTGGTATCGGCGGCCCATTGTTTTTTGAGAGTGTAAGTAAATAAAAAAATAATTATAGAATGTGAATATTTTTCCTCTTATTAATTTGTTCAAATTTTTAAGAAAACATGCTTTAAAATAAATTAACATTAGTTAGAATTTATAAGATAATATAATTTATAAATAAACATTAATATTTTGTCACCAGTAAATTCTGATTTGCATATTTAATTTTTTTAATATAACATATAAGGAATATTCACGAACTCACTGTTCATCTCGGAACCCTTAACAAAAACGGAACAGACAAAACCGAGCAAATTCGAAGAGTCGTTAAGCTGTTTAGACATCTTTATTTCAACAAAAGTTATTTAATTTAAAAAAAAACAACTAATATTCGCTAATGTATAAGAAAAAATTTTTTTTTCCTCCGAAAAAATTGTATATGAGCAAAAAATCTTTTGAAGATTAATAAAATTTGAATCTTTCAAATTTGATCAAAAATTTCGTTTTGAGGATTTTTATTTTATTTTGAAGAGCATTTTTTTAAAAAACTCTGTTATCAACCATTAATTATACAAACGCAAATGATTAGTTAAAAGATTTGATAGCGACGTCGCGTTGCTTCATCTAAACGAACCCGTTGTCTTCAACGAATACATCTCGCCTATATGCCTACCTAAAATTAAACCCACCAAAGATCTATTCTGTCAAGTCACGGGGTATGGAACAACTAAAGGTATATGAATGATAACGAATAGCCCATTATTTTATGTTTTTTAAAAAAAAAAAGGTGCTGGTAAAGAATACGTTTTAAATGAAATTGCCGTGCCCATTATTCCCAACTACGAATGCAATCAGCCCGATTGGTTGAACGATCGCGTAACAGAAAATATGCTGTGCGCTGGGGGCGAATTGGTCGACGCATGCTCTGTAAATTGATTACATTTTTTTAAAACAAATTTATATTTTTATTAAAAATTTCCCATTTATCCGATATCCGACTTAGACCGGGTCAGTCCGATTCGGTCCTCAATCTTAAATTGTCATTTGGACGGATACGAGACCCGATTATAAAAAATAGGTCGAAAGAAAGATTATAATAAATATATATGTTCCACCCCCCCCCCCCCCACCCGAATCTCACAAGCAGAAAGATTGGGAGAGACCAGTTGCGGCTCGCTGCATTTATTCTCTATTGCCTAACACGTTCTCGATCTATCAATCCTTCCTCGCTTTTTAATTAAAATTTTAAAATTAAAAAAAGGGAGATAGCGGTGGGCCATTGGAGTGTCTAGGAGACGATGATGTATGGTACGCGACGGGAATTGTTTCATGGGGCATAGACTGCGGAAAACCTATGAAGCCCGGTGTTTACACGAGATTGATCACCTTCGTGAACTGGATAAAAGATAAAATGAATCAATAAAATTCCGTTACGTTTTAAAAAAAAAAAAAATTTTAGGCCATTTAAAAATATTGCCATTAGATTTTTATGATTATAAAATTTTTCATTTATTATTATTGTATAGTATAGTCTGAATTTTTTATTTTATAAATAGTAAACCAATCGAAAAAATAACTTTTATTTACGAATAATTGTGTTTTGGGTATGACTTTTAAGGTTACAAGAATTAGAGGTAGAATTATATTTAATTAGTAAAGTAAAATATGAGTATTGATGTATAGATAAATTATCAGGCGCTTATGCAGGAATTCGCTAAGGAGGAGGGGAGTGGGAGGGGGTAATTAAATTTTTTTATTTTGGAATGATTCTGCTGAGAGTTATTTAAGAATATTTTAAGTTTCAGTAATTTAATTAGGTATTATAAAATATCGATAATTTCCATTACACAAATTCGAATATAAATTATTGCTAATTGTATTAGATATATATAATCGGCATATGAATCATTACAAAATAAATGTCTCGAAAAAGAACTTTGCAAAAAAAAAAAATTATATAATATTTAGAGTACTTGAAAGTATGATATATAAATTTAAATTATATTTTTTAAAAAAAATTAGATTAATCCACAAAAATATTCGTAAGAATTATTGCATACGCATGTATATAAACATGTAAAAAAAAATATATGGTAAAAAATACAATTAAGAAGTATATTAAAAATTTATAATGTGAAATTCAATATTCTTTGTGATTGAGCCAATTTTTCTATGATTTCATTAGTGCTTGGTGTCAATCAATCCTAAGAAGGACCACACCCATTCCAGGTAGTACTTATCAATAATGTTGTTACGCGGCTCGATTTGAGACTATTTTTTAAATTGTTAATATTTTGAAGAAATCTCAAGGTTTATGGCTATAATCGATCATCCATTTAACAACAGAACTTCTCAAGTATGTTCTTATTCTTGTTAAAACGGAAAAATTCTCTTTCAACGGTTGGAGTGCTAATGGGTAAAGCTGCCAAAATATATAATTAAATTTTTATAATATTACCAAAATAGTCTTAAAATGAAATAAAAGGTAGCAATCGGTAATATTTTTTAAAAAAAGTAGCCGGCATCTAAATGCTTTAAATTGGAGGGGGGGGGCAGGGCAGGTAATTTAGGTTGAAGGTATGATATAGTTAAGCATTATAATTGTTTTGCTTAATTTTTACCTACACTGAGTTTGAGAGAAGGCCATAACGTTTATATAGTGATGGGGGGGGGGGAGTTATGATGAGTGAGTTTCCCTATGAATTTTATTGGAGGTCTTTAGGTCATAGGCCTTTGGCTATATTAGATTTTTATAAAAAAAAATAATTTTGCGTTTTCACTTTTTTTTTATAAAAAAAATTTTAATCAGCCGTTAATTAAAAACGATATAAATTTTACTAATTTTTCTTTCTTCTTTATGGTGATATATTAAATTCATTTTGACAAGAGGGGGGGGGGAATTTGCGATGGGTGTTGGTCCTATCCTTAGTTACGCCTCCGCGTTGGTTTAGCGTTAATTGATAATATTTTAAAAATTTGATTAAGTATAACTTTAAACTATCTTTTTATTGTTTAACAATTTTATTTGGGAATTATTTTTTATATTAATATTTATGAATGATTCTTTTTCTGGGAAATATTAGGAGAAATTTTTTTTCCGGGAATACTTAGAGAGAAATTTTTTTTCCGGCTATTTTCCTATATATTCTAAAACAAAATTAATTTATTTTTAAGAATCTCAAAAAATTGAGGAATTATTTTTTAAATTTTTTCCCTGGGGATTTTTCCTGAGAGCTATTTTCATGGGAACTTGCTTAAATGCTATATTATTTCATGTTTTTACAACAAGAAAGGATTATAAAAATATTTAATGAGTTACAAATTAGTCATAAATATTGCCCATAAATGACTATATTTAGGGGAAATAATTTACTTGATCATTCATTATAGTATACCAAATATCACCATGGCTAGGAGCAATGAAAAATTTTAAAGTGCTCACTCATAAATTGCAATTAGTTATTTTTTTGCATAAAAATTGATTTTTTTTTACGATATTGGTTGAAAAGATGATGGCAAATATATCAATCTAAATATTGGATTAGTTTTCTATGATGGATTAGTTTTCTATGAATATATGAAAATATCGGATCAGCGGAAAATTTCTTATTCTCCCCCCCCCCCCCCATTAGCGGAGGTTTCCCGGAAAATTTTATTCAACAGGTTGCGCAATCCTTCTAAATAAATTTCTGTACCGCAAAGAATAACACGACCAAATGTCCCACTAAATTATAAAAATCAAAAAATTTAGCTAAATAATCATAAATATTAAAATTTGGCATAATTTATAAAACATTCGTTATTTTCCTGCTAAATTTTGAAATAGACTTTCAAAATGATAAGATTATACATTATAAGCTAAATTTGATTTATATAATGTAATTGTTAGATATATAAATTTCATTTCATGTTCATGATGTAAACAATGTAGATGTAATATAACCTATTTAATCTATTCTAATTATAATGTACAATTCAAATTTACTAATAATATTAATTCCATATGATAATAAATTTTTTAAAATTTGTTATACTCTCCAAATTCGTCAAAACTTGAAAATTTATCAGGTTTATCTCATTAAAAAAAAAATTTAAAAATTTTAACTCTAATAAAAGCAATCAACTTAGAAAAAAATATGTAATTATATATTTTCAATCCCTCGTTCAATGTGGCCTTTAAATGAATAAATCTTGTCCAAAACTCGCTTCTCATTCGACGAATTGATGATAAAACTGAATTTTGATATGAAATATGGAGAGTTTGCAAAATTTATGTCTAAAGATAAGAAAATTTTTAAAAATAGATTCTTCCGATAAATATGTAGAGATTCAGATTTTTATTTAATTTTTTTTAATATTTTGATTTTGTTAATATGCATAATAATTAAATAAAGATTGATAATTTCATAATTTGGCCAAAATAAAAATCACATTACAAATTTTTTTAAATAAATTCTTCAAAATCACTTTTAGAATATGGCAGATGCTTAGGCATTCTCCGACGATTTTTTTTAAATTTCTCCTACGTTAAAGTTTTCAGAATGTTAACGTTTTTAATTGATAAATTATAATTTTAGAAACAATACATGTTTAATGAATATAATATTATCTTTTATATTGAAAATTGAAAATTGAAATAATTGTTATGAAATGTTTTAATAAATTCTGTTTACCTATACTAAATGTGAGTGATTGTTTTAAAAGAGTTAATAGAGTAACTTTGTATTGACCTTTTTTTATTTTTGTAACTTTTATTTTTATACTCTTATTCTTATTTTTTTGTAAAACTAATTTTATATTTTATTTTTGGAAAATATATTCAATTGTTATATTTAATTTTGTATATGGTGAATTCCATATCAAATCAACCGAGGTTTCAACCCGACCCCCTTCAATTTTTCTTAAATTTTGTATACTGGTAGTATATACTATAACTAAAAAAAATGAAATTTTACATTCCAACACTGTTTACCCGCTAAGATATGGCCGTTTAAAGCGCGGAAAAATGGTGCATTTTTGACAAAATGCACCTCATTTATTTTCAAATATCTCGAGATATAATTAAGTTAGAAAAATAATTTAAATTTTATTTTGTAGCTTAATAAAAGTTATTTAAAATGACATAAAAATAAACATGATGGACATTTTATTAATATCGAAAACCGGATGTGTAAAACCGGAAATGGTCATAGAAAAAAAAGGTATTTTTTTTAAAAAATTTTTTCTGTAGATAGATATCACACTGCTTTATATTTGTACAAAATCTTAGACTAGAATAAACATGGGTTTAGAATTTATCACTCTTTATATGGCTAAAATTGAACAAATTTAACATTAATATCATCATATTTTTATTTAATGAATAGTTATGAAATAATGATAATAAAATTATATCTAAATGACAGGCCCTTACTTTTTTTATCTTTATCAAAATTTTTGAGAAGTAGCTGGAATAATGAGCTTTGTTTAACACTTTAGTTAAATTTTGTCTCGAAGTTACTTGACAAAATAATTCTAAACATATTTATAACTTTATTTGCCTCAAATTGCATTGCATATAATACAATCAAAATTTTATAATTAAAATATATCATATATTATAATCATCCAAGGAATTTTAATAAATTATGACTTTTGTTTTCGTCTAGGGGAATAAAAGCTTGGAACTTTGTGTTCCAGAAATTCTCTTTGCTCTCAAAAATCTGCTTTCAAGATGACTTTCTATGTTCATACATTCATTATTGCTCACAAATATATAATTTACCCCATAGATATTATTTCTTGCATAGTTAAATAAATCTATTGTTGTCAATATGTGATGTTCATATGGACGTTGCAAGCTTGCTCAAGCTGCTAACCGTTTAGTAACGGCCCCCAAAATGTCGCATGGACTTTTACCTTGTGCGGTTTCAAAAAATGTCACTCAGCCTTTATCCCAAAATTATTTTCATGATTGTAGAGATTAATAAAATCTTTATTTTATATTGGTTACTGCTCCATCAGAAAAATAATAAATTTTAGCCACTCTATTAAATCCTTCCTTCAAGAATACGATCAATTTTTAAAATAAATAAAATGCACATGCGTTATGCTTTAAACAATCTTGATATAACCACTAAATTTACATGTTTTATTATATTGTTCTCACGGTAATAAATTATAAAAGAGTTGATAGTGGCTTGATTATTGGTCTGATTAAATCCTTATGCATGGTTCTGCACTAAAAATGCATAGTTTTCTGAAAAGTCTGCGATAACTAAGAATTCGCCAACATTTAAATTGAATTTTAAAAAGTTTCGAATTAATGATTATCGCGAAGCTATAAAGAACTGAGGAATTAAATTGTTTAATTATTCAATTAAAAAATCTACAATTTCGTCAGCGGATTTTTACATGTTTCGAGGGGAGTTTGATCACCATTGTTTGAATGTTTTATAATCTATAGAATTCTCGTCAAATAATATATTAAGCCTTTCTTTTAATTTTGAATATATGGGGGAAAATTTATTGTTGAATTTCAATTTTGGTAGATTATTTTATGCTATTTC